GTCTGTGTGTATGCATGTATGTATGTAGGTATGTATATTTAGACAATATATATGTGTGTCTGTATCTGCGTCTGTGTATACTTGTGCGTATTTTTATATTCGATTATGTGTGGCTTTTTTGCGTAATGTGTCACATTGTATATATATATATATATAGTTATATGTTGTGTGAGTGTATATGATTGTGTTATAATTGTGTCAAGTGTTCTATTTTATGTGTAGAATATATGCTATGTATCTTTGATTGTGTGCAAGTATAGGTATTCTTATGGGTTTGTATACGGTACTCTTTACTACGTTGAAGCTTTCTTGCTTGTATTTTTCTATGCCGAAATGGTTGGTGTAATCATGTGTACCTTTATCAGATATATTCCAGATATAGGCACAATTGTAGTGGTTGAAAGGCTTATGCATATACAAACGTGTGAACATTTTTTCAAGGTATTCCATTCAACGTATTAGTCTTGAGGATCAGCTATGCACCATATTCAGTTGTGATCGTATTACACTGACGCTCTTTCGATTCTCATCTCTCATTGGTTGTTTTGCTTATATTTAATCACACATGCTGATATAGACTTAAATGTCTAGTTTGTGAGTGCACACGTGCATCAATTTTTTTTACATATCTATTGGATAAGTATGTGTGTACGTATGTGATCAAAACCGCGCCCAGTATCTCATACATTCGCTCTGAGCCACGTATGTAAATACATGATCATCAACACGAGTACGTTACATACATACATGTTGGTTTATGTTGATCATAATTCGATTCGCATGTTATAAATAGTCGTATCCGTTATATACCATGTATACGTCAATGTGTACTTAGCTTAGCACCGGGCTCGAGCCATTTATGATAATATACACACCCTACCAACCCACTGTGTCTCTCACTATACACCCTCTCACACCCCTATAAATCAGACCCCGTTTCACGCAGCTTTCTTCTAATCTCCGCTCTGCCTCGCCGCATCCCCAGGCTAAGTGACCTCGAGATAATCAATGCTCTCGACAAAGGGCGTTTTGCCACAGTGTACCGTGTGCGGCATCCAGCTACTGAGACGCTCATGGCGGTGAAACGTATCATGCTCAAGGAGGAAGAGCGGAACCAGGTTCTACGAGAGATCGACATTCTCTTCCGGTGTAGGAGCCCATATGTGGTCTCGTATTTCGGCGTGTTCTTTGAGGAGGTATGTTTGTGGGTGAGTATGATGTATGTATACTATATAGGTGTGTGTATTGTATATAGGCGTATGTGTACTTTTTTTCGTTGGTATACTATATAGGTGTATGTATACTATATAGGTGTATGTATACCATATAGGTGTATGTATACTATATAGGTGTATGTATACTATACAGGTGTATGTATACTATATAGATGTATGTGCCTGTCTATAATGTGCTCAGTGTGCGAGTTAGTTCGCGCGTTATGCGTTTTGACACGGCAGTGCTTCTTGTTTGCCTGCGATTGCCCATCTATGTGTGTGCCTGTGAATCAGCAGTGTTCGAATGACTACTTTGAGCTTGGATCTCCGTGACTTCAATACATATATCCAGTTCCCTTGCCTACTCATTATATACTCTACCTAGGTAGACTGCTTTACCGAATACTATAACTCATATCTATAACCAATTTCATTTCATGGTAGTGGTTCGTTCATATCGTTTATTTCTCCTCATTCGGCTACTGCCACCACCTCACTAAACTCTCCAGGGCAATATATCAATATGCATGGAGTACATGGACTGTGGAAGCTGGGCTGGAATATATCAACAGGCCCTTGCACCCACACCCACCCGAATCCCGGAATGGATCCTACAGTGTATATCGGTAGCGGTACTAAATGGACTGTGTTATCTCAAGACACAAAAGGTCATACACAGAGACGTCAAGCCGTCGAATATACTCCTCAACTCCAGGGGAGACATAAAGCTGTGTGACTTCAATGTGTCAGGTGTGTAGAACGGCACAATACACTACTCATAAGTGTTTTACTTTCCCAGATGTGCTTCTAAGTAGCCATCCGAACATCTGAGTATCAGTGCGCACATACATTGCATGAATCTATGCCACCAGTATATGTATGCTGTGAATGCCCAGAGTGTTGGTTCATGGTTGAGTCTGTGTCTCTGTGAGAGGAACTTTTTTGTGTTCTCTCAGTACGTGTGGGCAAATGTGCGCGTGTATATGATGACAGAATTATTCGACACCACACACCCACGTCACTGAACGCGATGTTGGATGAGACACTCTTTGGAGAATCATTTGCCAATGAGATGCTTTGTTTTCTTCATTGGCATGCTGTGTATGTGAAGATCATATCATTAATTGAATGGAGGGTTGATGTTCTGGCGTGCATTTCTGTGGCGATGTAGCGCTACGGTGTTACTTGGCGTTTGTTTTGTGGGTATGGACCTCGGAGTTGCTACCATGTGTGTGTGTGCATGAGTTGAAGACAATTTGATGTTTTACCAGTAGATAAAGTACAATAGTGTAGATACACCTTTTTTTATGAGCTTATGATAGTACCGTACAGCAACCCAATACTGACACACACTGCTCTCGTACATACTCAGGTAATCTCAAGGGGTCTATGGCGGCCACATACATCGGAACAGCAAGATATATGGCTCCAGAACGTATTGGAAAATCAGTGAGTTATGACGTGCGAGTGGACGTCTGGAGGTAACTACTGGCTCGCTGATGGCGTTTGCGTGTGCGTGTGCGTGTGCGTGTACGTGTGTGCGTGCGTAAGCCTGTGCATGTGTGTGTGCAGTTTGATTGCTATCGTACTTTGAATGTAACTCGGAAACAAAGTCTCGGGGCAATCGCATTAGCCGATGAACTGTACCCCTGTGGGTTTATGCCACTGTTACAAAATATTGATCTGGGTGCACTTTTTCATGGAAGATACGCATATTCACGTCTGTGAGTTAATTATTTATTTGTAAGTGGTTATGTACGTACTGTCTGTGATTGATTTGTGGTTTCTTAGGCGTGATACACACATTCGCGCTTCGCGCAAGGTGCATATATGCGGATGTGAGGGTATGTATACAATTTTCCATGCGTGTAAACAAATTCATACCTCCATAGTACTAACCCGGACCTTTCCCTGTCCCTATCCCTCACAGTCTAGGACTAGTTCTGGTGGAATTGGGTATGGCGTCACCGCCATACACTGCAGCACCCGCTGCTCCTACTACAGCCAGTATAAACAACCCAGCAGGCACGCCTACTAAACCCGCGCGAGATTTTAGTCAAACTCCATTTGTACTCATACACAAAATCAAGAATGGGCCGCCCCCATCACTGTGTGAGGAGGAAGGCTTCTCGCACACATTTTGCAGCTTCGTTAAAGAATGGTATGGTGGACAGTTTTACGTATATATGTGCGATTTCACTTATATATCCACACATGCACAAGTATCTACCCGCTCATATTTGTGATATACAGATGTAAGAATCAACATGTTCGCTTTAACTATGCAAAGTGCTATTTATGCAATGGCCCACCAGCTGTCTCAGCGGCATCTTATATGTTTTGAGTGCTTGAATGTTTGTACAGTGTTTGCCTTGGGATCGTAGTCTGTATTGGCTAAAAATCCTGCATGAAGTGTTGTGCATGCAATGTGTACTCGAGTTTCCATGAATTCTAAGTCAGCCCATAAGACTTTCCACGATCCTTTGTTTGAATGTCTGTACACTATACATGCGGTACGATCGCTTGACAAAGAAGCATTAATCTATTCATTCAACTTGAATGTTAGCCCGGAAACCACTTCGTAGAGATTGATTTTAATTTATGATTGTTTAATTATTTGCAGCTATGTTGTATGTGGGTATTTCTTTAGTTGGTTAAACGTTCGGTTAGTCAGCTGTCCGAAGAATCTAGCCGTATGAGATCGGAAATTGGTGCGTAGAGACAGTTCATTCTGCATGCAGGGAATATGGAGTATGCAATACTTCTGTAGGCATGAATGCGACCTTCTGCTACTCGTTCGATCATTCCCTGCATAATTCAATATGCTTTCTGAGATTTGTATTGCGTGCCACCATGGGGCTGTAGCTACAACATGCTCTGTTCTGTGGTACGATCTCAAGCGCACAAGTGCCTTCCTTATTTACAGCTTAAGAAAAGACCCGTTGGACCGTCCGAAGCCATCACAACTGCTGGTAAGTTCATTCAGCGTTCTTGGCCCATGGTTTGTGAAGTTGACGCTTTAAAATAGCTTGTGTGTACTCGGCTACGATGCTGTGCCGATTTGAAATATCTTTTGCTGTATTACTTGAATTCGCTTGCCGACACATGACAGCGTGGGCTTCGGAGCCTTACCAAGGTTCAGTAGGTGTGGCAGGCGTATTGTTATATCCGCGTTCTCTATGAGAATTGCAATTAGATCTCTACTCGCATACAATATCATGTTCTTCGGCCCGTCAAAATTATGACAGTGATGCGGTTCTCAATGTATGACGGTGTATGTGTATTGAAACCCCCTGAGGCTCCTCGATAATACAGCTACTTGGCTTATATCGTTATGATGATGGGTGTTTTCAGGGTCATGTGTATTACTTAATCTATATCCAAAAAAAAAAATCGTTTTTACAGACTCACGACTACATATTAAATGCACCGGACGTGCGAGAGCGACTGACAAATTGGATCGCGGAGCATCAACTGGGAGAAAAGGCTGAATTGGGCAGGATATCATAATTCTCAAAATTAGCAATAAAGAAATCAAGTAATAGGAAGTGGATGCAGGTAGCGCAATACGTGCAAACGGAATCAGGGTCTGGTGGCATCGATGTCCTGAGATGCCTCGACCTGACCGATGGCAAATAAGTGCAAATTAAATTGCTATTGTTCCGTATTAAAGCAGTCAAATTATCGAATACAAAATCTGATTCAATGCGCGTATTCTTCTATTGTCTCGCGAGAAAAAATTCTACGCATACAGCAATCAATACTTACAAACCAAAAACAGCTAGCCGCCAAAATTTGGTATATTCCAGAGCTGTATCCATTTTTGGTTCATGTGGGTCACAATCGCTAATACAGAAACAAGCTCGACCCGCAGCGTGGCGATTGAAACTTGGAGTTCACGCTATTGACTGGACTGTCTTTTTGTATCAATTGCTCACAATCTCCTTTGGTAACCTCATATCGCGCAATCTCGCTTCAAGGTTATTCATCGAGCACATTTTGTAGCAATCCGATATCAGAGCTATCGAATCTAGTGAAGTGTAAGTCTTATGTATTCCTTGTATCTAACCCCCGACCCAAAAAAAAATAGACATGTCGGTATTGTTGTGATATAGTCAACGTTTATACTCATAACGAAGGTTATTCGAGCGGTGGAAGAAAGTCTAGGTGAAACAAGGAGGAGAAGAAAATTTTACTAAAGTAGGCAAGACATGAAATCAAGAAAATAAATTAATCCTGTACGATATAGTGTACGATCAGTAGTCATTTTAAAAACTAATGGCAACACAGTGCCTAGGCCATGATAAATGAGCTTCTCTATTGCGTGCCAAAAAGATAGTCTGAAGCTGTGTATTCTTGCGCAAGCTGCGCGCTCAGCATGCGAAAATTCTTTTGCGAGCTTATTTTCATTGCATCCAACATTCCATTCTTCCCAAAGCAGAACAAGTGTGGGAGGTTTTATGCTCAATTGTGCAATCCGATGTCGCGCAGTAACTAGTGCTGGCAGAGGTCGTGTTGGACTTTCAAGTGTTTACCCCCTGCTACTACCTCGATATCCAACCCGAAGACGATTAACCGCATCATATATTGGGTTGCTCTTTTTGGTAGCCTGTCTTGTTATTTTGTGTTGTTCGTTTACGTGGTCTTGTGCCTCTGCCAGATGACGTTTTAACTAATGCAGTTCTACGAGCACTTGTTTAAATGTCATGTCCATTAACTGTAAATAACAGTAGTTTATCGTGATGTGATGGTTCATACAATATCACTAAACTTTAGATGGATCACAATACCTTTTATTGCGAATTGAAAATACCACAAAGAATGAAGCCATTTCTTCTATTTGCTCAGTGTCAACAACTACTGCATCTCAAAAACTTCGAAAAGCACACTTTGTTTTGGGCTTTGTTCCCAGTTTCCTTTATTCTTAGTGTTCTATTATAATCAATTTCTGGTCAGCCAGAGTACAAGACATAAAAGTAATATCCTTTTGAACAACTGAGTTCTACAAGACCCATGCTTAGAGAAGAATCTCGAATCCGCGGCGGCAGAGAAAGGGAGAGATCGACGTTTAAGCTGATTCCGTGTGTGTGCTTACTTAGTATTGTAGCATTACTATTCGCCTCTTTAAGGCGACATGGGTGGCACCGATGGGCGACGCTCTCGCGCGCACTTATGTGTGAGTGGCTATTGTCTGTTGTGCACGTGTAAGTGGAAGGCTGGTGAAAATACATATACTGGGTGGGTGGTGTGGAAATAAAAGGGTAGGCTGATGAGTAGATGGTCAATTCGACGTACAATGGTACTACTATGGAATGAACCAAAGAAACCATTGCATATGAGGAAATACTACTACATCATTATCAATTGATACGAAGGCCTTAGAATGATATACGATGTCGATCGTATAATTGGGTATTATATATATATATATATATATATATATATATATATATATATATATATATATATATATATATA